GTGGCGTCGTGCTGGGACACCCGAGTGGATTCATGTATAGGGCGCACCGGATTGTGAGGCATGCACTCGTTTTTTGGTGGGGTTTGAGGCTTTTGAGCGCGCTCTATGGTGCAGAAAATACGGTACATAGATGGATAGATAAAAGCTAAATAAAACCTATAACACAATAGTCACAACACAAAAATGTCCAATTTTATTATGATTCTAAGGAAAGGGCTTGATACTCAATACCGATTTTGATAGCACAATAATAAGTAATTGATATCATTGTAGTGGACCAAACAGAAAGGGAAAGTCAAGGGTATAAAAATAAGTTTAAATTTAATAAAGTAACAAATAAAGTAATTTAACGAAAGCTCATATTAGGCAAATATTTTTTAAAAAGCTGGGCCCAACTGGGGTTAACTTAAACCAAACTGAACAGAACAAAACTAACAAACCCAGACAAAGAACAGAGGTGTTTAAATACAGGAAAACTAACTATAACTGAACACAAGAAAGGAATTATACACACTAAATAATTAACTAAAACTACTAACTTAATCAAAGTAACAAAAAGGCGAATAATTATAAAACAGTAAATAATAAGTGACAATAAAGTTAACTTAACCCTTATATTGTGTTAGGGTCAAAATTGACCCGTTTTCAAGTTTAGGTATGTAAAAACTGCCATTTGCTTTTTTGTACCGGAATGAGGCTTCATCTAATCCTCAGACACAACTATTTTAACGCAACAAAATCAATTTTCACCATTTTAGTAAATTGTAAAGGTCTGAAAAAAAAAAGTGACATCTGTGGTGTTACGGGTCAAAAATGACCCGGCAGAGAATAGTGGCTGTTTTATGCATCACTTACAAGCTGTAGGCTGCTCTGTGGATCAAATATGGCTCAGTGTGTCCCACAACACACACACACACACACATGCACACACACACACACACGCACACACACACATACGCACACACACACACACAAAAAGGTCATCTTCACCCACGTGAACTCGTCTCTTTCTTGCAGCACATTGATACATTTTGAATCTAAAATAAACCTTGTCATATATAAACAGGGTTTTAGTGAGATATTATCAGCTGTATCTGTTGCAGCATCAGTCAACATGAGCAGGTTCACTGTTTATGAGGCGCTGGATCAGATCTTTGGTCATGACAGTGATTCTGAAGACAGAGAGGAAAGTGAAGCTGAGGAAGATGTATCTGAGGATGAGGATGAGGGCACAGACTGAATAAAAGAAGTGGACTAAGTGAGTGTGACGTCACCCACAGCGTTTGGCGCCGCTCAAATGAAGCTCACGGTTACAGGAGCGAATCTAGAGTCAGGTTATATGTTATGAATAGGATTTTTTGGACGGACAAAACAGCCAAAAAAAAATAAAAAAATCAGGTTCATGTGTCGCAGGTTAATACGTATATTTTAAGACCAAAATGACGAGGTTCACAGCAGCAGGTACAGAGAGAAGGACGACAAGATCCTAACATAAGTCAATTGGAGCCAGAGTCAGAAGGAGCCGGAAGAGCCTCCTGGAGAACTTTCTATTTGGAACGCGGCGGCTACAGCGTTAGTTATGTCCATTCATATATACGTCTGTGGATGAGGATGAGGTTCAGTATGACCCTGAACAAGAGCACATGTGGTGAGGAGAACCCAGATGTCACAAAGACTGAAAGAGACGTCTTCAAGTCAAGAAAAAGTGACAGTTCATGGTCACCAAGCCTCTTGACACCCAATATAATTATACTTATATAAATTAGATTTATATTATATGTATTATATATAAATTATTATGATTATAGTATAATTATATAATATAATTACAAATTTTATCACTATAGGAAATATAATTAGTGAATTTAAGCAGTTTTTGTAATCAAAAACGAGTGGTATATTTTAAGATAAAAGGTCTGTGCAGCCAAAAAAATAATAATAATAAAAATGTTTCCATGGACATGAACACATACTAAGTTAGTTATGAGGGGAAAAACAATATTGGATGATATCTAGTCTTTTTAAGTATTTTCAGGCTGAGTTAAATCACGGGTCAAATTTGACCCGCTAACACTAAAGACGCGTGTAGCTTTCTAACACAATACAAGGGTTAAAACAAACTGTGTGAGTACATAATACAGACCCAAATTAGAAAATATAAGTCTAAATAAAGGAATTAAATTAAACTATGTGTATTGAAATTAACTTAATGAAAACTGTAATGAAATGAAATAATACTAACACTGTGGAGTAGTGGCAGACTTATCCAGCACAATCATACTAGTTCTTATTTAGATCAAGACTACTTCCTCAAACTATTCAGGAAAGGTCCATGCTATGCCATTACAGAAGCTGTAGTTCCAAAAGGTGATACTACAGTGACTGCTTAAGAAGGCTATTGCATAAAATAAATAATAATAGTTAGCCAAGAATTGTGAACTGGATCTCACTGTTTATTTATTATAAACATCTCATCTTGTTCTTGTGGTGTGTCCTTATCTGTTTACTACTTACTGTGCATGTCTCTTACAAACCCACATGTTATTTCCCACGGTGCTCCGTGTGGTTTGAGACTGTACTTTCAAATGTAACTGCACGGTTTCACTTTAAGCAGCAAGACCCCACAGACCTCAACTGCCAATAGGAACAAAAGAACTGGGGTAGAAAGTAACTCATTTGCACTACTGTAATTGAGTAGATATTTGAGGCAATGGTACTACTTTTCATATATTTTGAAACATGTACTAATTGGGTATAATCTACTAATCTATGTGCTCTTACACTTGTTCTGATGCAGCTCAAGATCATTCTAAAGCTGTTCAGGGAAGGTTCATTTCTGTCCTGTGAAAGTGACTCTTTCAAATCGATACTTACTCAGATGAGTGTGTAGTTTCGATGTTAATTTTAGTATTTAATAGTTTTGATAACCCTAGTTTTGATTTATAAGAGATCAGAGAATAATCAGTATGAAAACGCAATCTAAAATGCTTCTAAAAATAACTAGCTTGTACTTTGATTAGTATTTTGCACATGTACTTTTAGCGTTTACTTGAGTACATTTTTGGCAGCATTACTTTTACTTGTATTTGAGTGCATTATTATGCATGTAATTAACGGAGTACTTCTCTTCAGCAGTCTTTCCCCCTCTGCAGAAGAACATGTACATAGGCACATACTAGTATGTGGGCGTGCAAACTTTAGCAGAGTCTTTGAACATGAGTCATACGGGGGGAGGCCATACACTATCAAACCACACATAATTTCTCCTTCCACTGCAGAATTTCCGAGCAAATCTTTCATTTGTGTGGTTTCCATCAAGAGGTCTTTGTAGCATCTTCTTTAGCAACACCCTATCTGCCACTAGCACGTGCAGTGGCTGCGCGTACCATATTGTTGATGTATTGTTGGGTAATTAGGCATTTTGCGCAGAGTCAAGATATCAGATTATGCTTGGACAAGATTTGAACTGGGTGACAGCTTAAGTCACTGTGCCACTGCAAACACAAAGCATGATAATAACAAAGCATGTACGCAAAACATTGGTCATAGCTGTTTAAAGGTGCTCTTTCTGACCTTTCAAATGGATGGTCCACCACCTGCTTATCTCCACTGAGATGTTTTTGCTCTGCCTGACATGTTCCACAGTACAGCACTGATTAAAGGCCCCATATTACACTACTCTCTGATTTATGTTCTATGTTGTCTCCTCATCACAAACATTCATTCACACATGTTTAACACACAAATCCTGCAGATTTAGACTGAGTTTTTCTCTCTCAAAAAAACAAAACCAAAAAAACCCCACTCAGATTCACAGGAAGTGCTCCACTGTGTTTTTAAACTCCATACATCTTCACTAGAATCAATTAGACCATTTCAGCCCTGGAATTGCCCATCTAGACTGAACAAAAGGTTAAAGGAGCTGTTAACTTCAAAATTACCACTACATGACATCACAAGGTGGAACAGAGCTTTTTAAGCTTTAGAGATGTGGACAAGTAGGGGTGTGCAAAATATTGAAATATCGATATATTATAGTTCTTAACGTGATGATACAGTATCAATATCGTGGGCTGCTGTATCGATATATCACCAAGAGTATATTTATGGTATATTTTACTAAATTATTTTATTACAGCTACAGTTTTGTTGCTTGTTTAGAGGAAGGAAACTCGTTTATACAACACATTTGACATTTTCACTGTTTTTATGATTAAAATGGGCAAGTTTCATATAAACTTTCACAAGAAGTGGTTTAACAAAGACTTTTAGTGTTGCAGTTATCATTTAACCATTATTTTTTATTGAACCGTGTCGAACTGATTTGAAATATTTTTTATTGAATCATAAGCTCACTGTATCGAGATATGTATCGCATCTTGGCATATGTATCGAGGTATGTATCGTATTGGCAACTTCTTAACGATACCCAGCCCTAACGCACAGTCTAATGAAACAACACATATCTCCAGGCGTGTTTTTGAAGAGGTAACAACATTACAAGAGTCAATTTTGTGTAATATAGGACCTTTAAACATACAATATCTATCTCCATGGAGACAAGTGACAGCAGCAGGACAAGTTACAGGTTGCATCTGTGGAAAGGAGCCCACAGATATTTCATTTAATATAGTGCACCTTTTCACTGGCATTTTACATTGCATTATTCATTCACTCTCGACGCCTAATGATGGAAGATATACTCATTTAAATTCTCAGCCCAACCTGAATTCAGCCTGGACCAGATTTCCCACAGTGTAATTTATTCTTTGTTTTGTTTTTCAGGACGAAGATCTGGGCAGCTACCTTTCAAATTTACTGAAGAAAGGACTTCCATCGGTGTGCTAAAGAACTCTAAGGCAATTCAACAAAAATTACTTTGCAGGAGATTTCAGTGAAAACATCAACAAGATTCAACTCCAAAAAAAACTCTTAGTGCTTTTGATAATAACTCGTATGTTCATTTTTATTGTAGAAGTTGTATTTATCTGGTACATGTACTGGTTAGGAAGAAAATAACAGTTACAAAAGATCCTATTTTGATGTAAAAAAAATCAACTCCATTAAACACTTTTTCTACATAAATTACACCAGAGTCCTTACCTTTTTACATTTAAGGAACATTACAGTATTTACAATATTTAAAGTGTCACATGTTATCACTATTAATGAAAACTAGCTTCATATAAAACGCTGAAATTACTAATATTTACAGAGATATTTACAGACAGGGAACAGACTTTTCACATTCCCAATTGAGGTTTTAGTTAGGAGCCGTGATATAACTCAAAACTGAAACTTAAAGTGCCCATCTCATGCAAAATAACTCTTTTCACATTGTATCTTCTGCACATAAACAATATTACTGATTTCTTGGAGGCATCACAGATCAGGAACTATGAAAGGCCGACAACTGTTCCTCCGCCCATCTCAGGGAGGGAGGGGGAGACAGGCGTGCACCCTGATAGTGGTAGGAATAAACTTTTATTCATCATGGAGATACAGCGCGTTCAGCCGCATGTGTTGGACCCAGAATCGGACGAGGACTTTGAGGTGCACGAAGCTCAAGCACCGCGTCCACATCAGCTGAACATTACTGATTTGTAAAGTATTAATAAACACTAGTAGATAAACTTATTATATCGTGTACACTGCAGTGTAGAACATTTAACTTAGGCTGTCGCTTTTGTCGGGGTGGAGGCGGGGCAGGAGCGGTGGAGTGAGGGATGGGGGCGGATGCGAAGCGCTTTCTGCTACGTCAAACACGTCATAGGTGTAGCTGCTGCGTCATCATTGCAGCAGCTTTAGTTCGTTGTCACGTGGGAGGGTGGCAGAAATATGCTGCAATTTGTTTAAAAAAACACCAAATCAATCTAAAAACCACTTTGGCAACATATACAAGGCCCAGACATCACTCTTAGAAGGTAGAAAGCTCTGAAAAGTTTATTTTGCATGAGATGGGCACAGCTCCTTGTCGGTTGATGCTTACTTATGTCATATTTATCACATAGACTCCCCTTTTCCTCGTTATCCTCTTCCTCTTGAACAGTTTAATTGCTAGCCATTTGCAGTGTCCAGTGGTGATGTAGTAGAGCACAGGGTCCAGAAAGGTGTTACAGGTGGCTAGAGCGATGGTTACCCGCCGTGCAACGTGAATGGCGTTTATGGCGGAACAGTTTTGTATGACTTCACTATGTCCTAAAACATGTAGTAGATAGATGAGGTGATAAGGCAGAAGGCATAACACCGTAATGGCAAGTATCACGTAGATTACCCCAACTGCTTTTTGCGCTATTTTGGTTTTTATCTTCGAAATCCGTTTTGCCGCAGCTGGATAGCAAACTAGGATAACGACCAAGGGCACCAGAGACCCAAAAATTAAGCAAAAGACGCTAAACGCTGTTAAACGTGATTTCCATTCTTTTTGGTCGAAATTTTCAAAGCAGCTGTAGCGTCCTGATTCTCGCTGTTTCGTTTTCAGTTCACCCATTAGGACAAAAACGAGCATGGCCACTCCAACGATGCACCAAAGCAAGATACTAACCACAATGGCGCTCCAAACTTTGCGTAATTTTAGATAGACATGCGGATGGACGGTTGCCATGTAGCGATCCACGCATATACAAGTCATGAAACAGATGCTCATATACATCCCAGCGTGGAATAACGTCCCAATAATCCTACAAGCAATGGCGTCAAAAATCCAGTTGTTTTGGTTCAGGTAGTAGTGGATTCGAAATGGCAAAGTGCACAAGATCATAATGTCCGCCACAGCTAAGTTGGTGATATAAACACTAAAAGCTGAGCGTGAGCTTATCTTGAAGGTGAAGTAATACAGAGCAGCTAGATTTCCAGGAAGACCAATGATCAGTGCGATGATAGAAACTGTAGGAAACATGTAGTACTCGTAATTTTGGTCGTCTGGGGAGGGGACGCTGCAGTTTGCACCGGTCATGTTTGTGTTCACTTATTTATCCGAGGTTGGTTGAAAATGAACTTGAACATTAGATGAAAAATCTCTGAGTACGTCAGGAATCTGGCAACCTATATCCAAAAATGAGCAAAAGTGACACATATTAGACAAGAATTGATTGCCAAATTGTGCTTATTTTGACTATATATTAGGCTATTTTTAGAGCAGTTGGATACAGTGGATTAAAACAAAAAGCGAATTCCTTTTTGAGCAGGGCTGGGTACTGTTACTTGAAGGATGCCTGGTTTTCGGTACCAGACCTCAACTTTATTTTTTTCAGTTCTACACTATTATAAAGAACACAATACTCAGAAACTAGTGATGTAACAGTAACCGAAATATTATCGTATCGTCAAAATTAATAATAATAATAATAATGATGATGCATCAGTTTTACATAGCGCTTTTTTGGACACTCAAAGACGCTTTACAGTTCATTATTCATTCACTCCAGACCCGGTGGAGGTAAACTACTACTGTAGCCACAGCTACCCTGGGGCAGACTGACGGAGGCGAGGCTGCCAATCTGCACCATCGGCCCCTCCGACCACCACCATCACTCACACACACACCACTTTCATACTAGACAATGAGGGTGAAGTGCCTTGCCTAAGGACACAACAACAGTTTTTACAACTGGCGCCCCCCCATTCTCCAGTTCTCACAATAATATCGTGGACCATCACAATATTTCCAATTACAAGTCTCTTTGCTTAAATGAAGAGTTCTGGTGCAGCAATAACTAAAAAAACAGAGGGAACTACATAGACCATGATCCTTTGCTCCATTTCAGTGCAGACTACATGAAGAAATAACAGTTCTAAGCAACTTTTAAGTCTTAGTTCTTTGGATTAAGTCTTGTCAAGGCATTTAAAGAGGTAAAACAGTTAAAAGTTTAGTTTGCCTCCACAAAGTATCGCAATAAATATCATACTGTGAGATGTATAATGCGAACATATCGTACAGAGAGATTTGGATATTGTTACATCCCTAATCATGAGCCTCCACGCCATATCCTGAGCTTTCCTACGATATCACAATAAATATCGTACCATGAGGTTCATACCGTGACAATATTATATCATAAGACTTGGATATAGTTACACCCTTATCAGAAGCCCAATTAAATATATTTTTGAAGAATTTAGTGTCTAGTCAAACTACGCAACTTTCCATCATTCTGTCTAACCTGGCATCAAAACGTATTAGTAGTAACAGTAATTTCTTTGGTACTGTACCAGCCGTACTGCACTGCTAACCTCTTTGGCCTATTTATGAGTCAAACTATCTCAGATTTAAAAAATAAAACCAAATAAAATGTCTCCTCTATAAGCAGAATCAAACTTTGTCTAGCAATTCATATAAAAATAAAACTGTTTAAACATTGTGCCTAGGGAGAAGAAAGTAGGAATATTTCAAAAATACATACATGTTTGTGCTTCATATATGTTTAATATTTTTATAGTAGTTGAATGGATATTTAAAATACTAGTATATTTAAAAGACTAATACAAATAGCTAAGTAATATATCTACAGCTTATCTTTGAACACACTTAAACACTTGAAGATTAAAGCATTAGAAAGCCTAGCAACATACAAGTGATAACTTATGATAGATTCTCCGACTTACCTTCTCACATCGGCAGGAAAGTGTCTGAAGAAAGACAAAACCACACTGAACCCAGTCTGCGCTGAGCAAAAACAGATTCACTAGTTTCCTTTGCAGAGGTTACATTTAGTGACAGTTTCAGTAGATGTGCTGATGTTTATTGGTACAAATTCAGAGCAGTGGGTGGTGTTACTTCCTGTCTGGGTCAGAAATAACTTTTAATTAAAAAAAAGATGGGTACGTGTCTCTATGGCTATGGAAAAAAACATGGTTTCAAACAGATAAAGTTTTTTATTTTTGTGTTTGTAAAATCCCTCAGTCGTCCAGGAGAAACTCAGACCGAAAGCAAAACAAAGAAAACAATAGTGACAGCCAAAAGTACAGTTCAACAGACTGAGCTAACAAACTGAAACTGTAAACAAGTAGATGTGTTAGTTTCGGAGTAGTTTGAGTGTAGTTAGCTCCTCCCTTCAGACAGATATAAGGCAGTGTCCACCAGCGTCTGACCAGAACTGAAGAAGCAGAATCTGTGTATCGTTCGTTCATTAGTTTTTCAAAATAAAACCACAAATAAAACAAAAACACAAGTATTTTCTTCATTATTTGTCTCCAAAACTAAAATTTACAAAACAGATAACGATTTGTTTTTTAATTTTTTGATTTTGTGTTTAAATGAATAATGGAAAAAACAGATAACAGCTGTTTCCCGTTTCTGTGACTTAAAACTGCGATGCTGGACTTTTGCGCCACATGCGGACTGAACCAGGACTAAAACAGGTTTAAACCAGGTCTAAACTGATCTCAGTCCTAGTCTGATCCTGATCTCAGTCCCGGTCTGGTCCCAGTCTGGTCACGGTCTCACTCCTAAACCAGGACTAAACCAGAACTGAACCAGGATTAAACCAGAACTGAACCAGGACTAAACCAGGACTAAACCAGGACTAAACCAGGACTAAACCAGGACTGAACCAGGACTGAACCAGGAGTGTCGGGGCAGACCTGTCAGGTGATCAGGAAACCGGGACCAGACTGGGACTGAGACCTGGTTTAGACCTGGTTTAGTCCTGGTTCAATTCTGGTTTAGACCTGGTTTAGTCCTGGTTCAATTCTGGTTTAGTCCTGGTTTAGTCCTGGTTTAGACCTGGTTTAGTCCTGGTTCAGACCTGGTTTAGTCCTGGTTTAGACTTGGTTTAGTCCTGGTTCAATTCTGGTTTAGACCTGGTTTAGTTCTGTTTTAGTCACGGAAACAAAAATTCGTTGTTAACTGTTTATTCACTGCTTTTCTTCCTCTAAACACAGTAACAGTTAGGGCATCTGGTATAAAGTCCTCCAAGAGCCACATCACCCTGTAGAAACATGATAACTGTTTCAATAGGAAGTATACTTTGAAAAAATCTTTTAAAATAATTTTAGTTGTTAGTGTTTTAGGTGTTAGTTTTAGTTTGTTCATCTGTGCTCTGTGTTTTGTTGGTTCTCAAACATCTTCCTTTTTTCTGAAAGATACAGAGATTTTATTTCAAGTGTTAACCTTACTTTCAGAATGGTGCAAAAAACACTAACATCAGCTATAACATTCATGAACTTACCCAGCAGAGCTCTGGATATCAGTCTTTGTTTGTAGACGACTCTGGAAGCAACACATTCAAATCTTAGTACAACTGTTATTAGGATCTTATTTTCAGACCTAGAGTTTTATTTCATACCTGACAGTTTCGACTGCTCACTAGCGTCTTCCTCAGGGTGGTCACGTGATGCTGCTGTGACGTGTCTGGTCAGCTGATTTAAACGGGTTAGGGTTAGTTTTCCTACCGGTGGAAGCAGGACGACAGCGCCACCTGCAGTCCCACTTCCTCAGGACAGTATCCCAGGTGTGTGAGAGTAAGAAAGCCCCCTCGTCCCGGTTTACAGTCCTGTGGGCACATTTCCGTATTTCCATTGCTTCTTTAATCCAGCGGCGATGTTTGTTTTCCTCTGTCTTAATGATGTTTGCTCCATCCCAGTCCATAACGTGGTTCTCTTTTTACAATGGTCAGAAATGGCCGATTTGAGTTGTTCCTGTTCTGCTTTGTGTTTTGTTGCTTGTGTTTCGCCTTCGCTGTTTCCTTCTCACATTCTGTTCTATGTTTCTTTTTTCATGTACTGAACGCCCTCCCTGTTTCCCCGATGTATGTTTTATTGCAGGACATGCAGGGTATGTCGTATATTACATTAGCAACATCACGTGACCAGTCTGAGGAAGACGCTAGTGAGCAGTCGAAACTGTCAGGTATGAAATAACACTCTAGGTCTGAAAAAAAAGAACGTAATAACTAGGGGTGTCACATTATCGCGTTAATTGCGATTAATTAATTACAGTCATATTTAGCGCGTTATGTTTTTTAATCGCGTTAATCTCATTTTTAATCTCTAACTTTACTGTTTCTGTATGCGAGTTGCTTTATTATAAAACCTGTTTTTATGCGTTGCTGGGACAACAACACACACACAAAAACACATTTATATATTTTTTTATTTCGGTAATTCCACTCATTGCCGGAAACCCACACAAAACGCAGTAAGAAAGATGTAAACGTCATGTTCACGTTGGCGGCGTCAGGTACAATGGACGAGGTCGTAGAGCCAGTAGAACAGAGTCAGCAGTGCACAGGTAAAAACACATTCGTGTCTTGGAAATTATTCTCCCGACGTGAAATATAAAAGAAAATAACTAATATAATATCGCCTACAACTTAAATGTCACTGGTGAAAACAACCTGCATAGGCTCATGATGTCTGCACTACTGTCCTATAGTGACCTGAAACATGAGGGGACACGCACACACACACACACTCACAAACACAAACACACACACACAAACACACACACACACACACACCTTCATCATCGTCATTAACCTGAGAACGCGCGGACCACGTTTCTTTCCGTAGACACTGCGCGGACACTGACGTGCTGCCGTGAGCCGCATGTGGATCGTGTTTTCTCACGTACGCTGCGTAAACCGCACTTCCTCCTGTGAGCCTCTAAACCAGAACTAACACCAAGACTAAAACCGGGACTAACCCAGTCCAGGTCTAAACCAGGTCTAAAACAGGTCTAAACCAGGACTAAACCAGGACTAAACCAGGACTAAACCAGGACTAACACCAGGACTAAACCAGGACTAAACCAGGACTAAACCAGGACTAAACCAGGACTAAAACCAGGACTAAAACCAGGACTAACCCATTCCAGGACTAAACTAGGACTATAGTAGGACTAAAGCAGGTCTAAACCAGGACCAAAACCAGGACTAAAACCAGTGATCTCATATATAAAACATTTCTCTATCAATAATATTTTTAATATGGTTAAGGAAAGACTGGACTTTTTATTGTCTTTAAGTCGACAAAAGTTATTATGTTCAGATTTCCTCGTCTTTGCTACTTTACAGCAAACAGTTTCTTATTCATGGAGACTTGGGCTCAACAGCCAATTTGGAGAGATTTGTTAAACAATAAATGACTTTATAAAGTCACTTTTTTTTTGTTCTATATCAGTTGTTTTTGATCTGCCACAATAATGTAATAATGAATTTAAATGAAAATACCTCAAGTTGAAGCTTTTCTCAGCAATTTTTAAGGTGAGATTAAAATGAGATTAATTAGATTAATTAATTACAGATCATAATTAATTAATACATTTTTTTAATCGCATGACAGCACTAATAATAACATAGAATATTGGAAGACCAAATGAATCTCATTGGACTTAGTACAACTGTCACACTCTTGTAGATGGAAAGTCAAACACAATTTGTTTCATGGGAACAGCCCTTACATTAACTCTAATTTCAAATAAAACACCACAAACATGTTTTAACAATGACTACATTCTAGTCCAGAGAAGCACATAAAATCTTTGAAAAGTCTCACCTCCAGATCAGCTCTCATAATCCTCCTGCTCCACACTGTGTCCTCTGCTCCTGGATCTGTCCTGTGTCCTGCTACATTAAAATTTTCCCTCCAAATGTTTTGGGGAGGGGAATTCCAGAGGGAGGAGCCTCACCACAGATTAGAATAAAGTCATGTTTCCTCAACCTGATTAAAACATGCAGGTCTGACATTGGCCACAATCAAGCGACCTTTGTAAGGTTTACAAATGCTGGACAGAGAAACATAAAAAAATCATGTTATTGTTGTCAAATTTGTTTTTGCAATTTGAGCAACTCCTCTCGGACCGTTTTTTCAGTGTACATCTCATGGTATATTTATTGCAATATTTTGTGGAGGCTATGCTACTTTTTACTCTTAAAATGCCTTGACAAGACTTAATCCAAAGAACTAAGACTTCAAAGTGTTGGAGCTGTCATTTCTTCTTGTAGTCTGCACTGAAATGGAGCAAAGGATCATGGTCTATGTAGTCCTCTGTCTTTTTTTTATTTTTTTTTTAGCTATTGCTGCACCATAACTCTTCATTTAAGCAAAGAGATTTGGAATTCGATATATTGTGATGCTCCACGATATTATACACGCGTCAAGAATCTCAGACTTCCGGTCACTGCGCAATGCATACTGGGAAGGATTTTCCGAAAAAGTGAGCATCAAACGGTCATGTTTGTTTTCCCAGTGGGATGCGTCTATTGTCAAAGCTGATCTTTTCAAGTCTTTTGAACCATATCACTTTTGTTTCTGGTTCTGATATTGTCATATTTTAGTTTTGGGATTTGGACATTGTTAATTATGTGGTTGTTGGATCCTAACAGCAGAAAACAGCTCGAGAAAATTGTTTGCGAAGTCCATAGATGCAAAAGGGAATCAGATGTGTGTGACTGCAAACCTCTGTTCAAACTGTTTCCCTTCCCAACGGAATTGAAAAATAGTGAAAGGCGATGGGCAGTATTGATCCACAGGAAGGACCAAAAAGGAAACCTTTGACTGTCTAAATCGGGGGTCTCAAACTCAATTTACCTGGGGCCACATTAGATAAAGTCTGAGTGAGGCTGGGCCGCATTGAGTATTCGATAAATAGTGGTTGCACGGAAAAAAAGACACACTTTCTTAATCTTAAAAACAGTTCAGAACATGAAAATGTATTCAGAACATAAGTTTAAACTAATACGTCTACTCTTCTTCTTTTGCCTACTCCTTTTGCTGGTTGAAACCTGGCTACGA